ATAGAGGTTAAATAACTTGTCCATGATCCACAGCTGAGAAGTGACAAAGAGTAAATATTTGAGAACTGGCTGTTTGATTTCAGATCTGTCTTCTTAATTATTGTGCTATATTGCCCCTGTATACGGAAGACTTCTAGAGAAGGTAATCCTTGAACTGGAATTTGAAAACTAATAAATAGTTGTGTCATAGTCTGTTTTAAATTACAATAGAATATCTGAAACCAGATAATTCATAAAGAATACAGACTTATTTGGCTTATGGATGTAGGAACTGAGAAGTCCAAGGGCATAGTAGCAGACTATTGGGGGCCTGAATGAATTTTGAACTATCTCAAGGCAGTGGGATTGCATTTCCGTGAACTCTTGATGAAATTCCACCAATCTTGGGGGCTGGGGATGTGGCTCAAGAGGTAGCGCGCTCGCCTAGCATGCGTGCAGCCCGGGTTTGATCCTCAGCAGCACCACATACCAACAAAGATGTTGTGTCCGCCAAGAACTAAGAAAAGCAGGGCTGGGGATGTGGCTGCACAGGTAGCGCGCTCGCCTGGCATGCGTACGGCCCGGGTTCGATCCTCAGCAGCACATAATAACAACAAAGATGTTGTGTCCGCCGAGAGCTAAAAAATAAATATTAAAAAATTCTCTCTCTCTCTCTCTCTCCCCTCTCTCACTCTCTCTTTAAAAAAAAAAAATATTGCACAGAACCTCAGGAATCCAAACTGGAGGAAGGGAAAACACTGTGTGTCAGGGAGCCCAAACAACTCCAAGTGGGAAGTCCTGTCCTTCAACAAGTTTCAGGGAGTAGCCTGTTTATTATCACCCCACTTTTGGCACAGAGCTCATTTTTAGTGACTGCTGGGGTCAACATGTATTTTACAAAACAACGTAGACATGACCCAAAGCCAGAGGCTGCGGGACTCACAGGTAGCCTTGGCTAACACGGCCAACACAGAGGTGACCGGGAAGGTGGTGAAGAGGGAAACCACATCTAAATCAGTGGTTGAGGGGCTGGGGTTGTGGCTCAGTGGTAGAGCGCTCACCTAGCATGCCTGAGGCCCTGGGTTCGATCCTCAGCACCACATAAAAATAAACAAAAAAAATAAAGGTATTGTGTAAAAACAAACAAACAAATGAAAAAAAAACCCCAACCTTATAAATCAATCAATCAATCAGTGGTCGAGGCCTGGGGAGGTGGTCAGTAATAGAGCACTTGCCCAGCATGTGCAAGGCCCTGGGTTCCATCCTTGCCACTGCAAGAACAAAAACTGAAGTTGGCAAAAATCTTCTGCATGTCCAGGTGAGACATATTTTAGACCTTGTGAGCTACTCAATCTCTGAGCCAGCTATGACTTTGATGTTGAAGCACTAACGAGGCTAGCGTGAGTCAGTAGGGTGGTGTGTGCCTGTAATCCCAACAACTCAGGAGACTAAAGCTGAAGGATAGCAATTTGAAGCCAGCCTCAGGAACTTAGCAAGACCCTGTCTCAAAACAAAAAAATCAAAAGGGCAGTGGATATGGTTCAGTGGTAAAGCACTCATCGTCCAATGTCTGGGCTATTATGTGTGGAAACACCCATGTGGCTGTGTGAAACTCTAGGGATGCCAAACTTTCACGTATTCCATTAAAATTTACATCATTTTTACAAATTAGCAAGTATTATCCCCTTTTTGTTTTTTTTTTGGCTCTACCAACTAAAAAATGTAAAAGCTATTCAAAAAGAGTTGGTAAAACATCTGTAGTGCATCCACCTTTGACTATTAGATATGAGGAAAAAGCCAAAATAAGCCAGCTGTGATGGTGCATGTCTGTTAATTCTAGCTACTGGAAAGGCTAAGGCAGGAAGATCACAAGTATGAGGCCAGCCTGGGCCATTTAAAGAGGCCCCGACTCAAAATTTAAAAAAAAAAATAAATAAATAAAAATAAATGGAAAAGCAAAAGGAAAAGCTAAAATAGAGGTTTCCCTTGGGCATGAGAAACTAACCGCTGGAGTTTCGGTAGGGTTCTTGACCTGGATGTACAGATGTTGAAAGTCGCGGTGCTGCAGTCCTGCGGTGTGCGCACTTGACAGCAGGCAACTTTTACCTCCACTTTTTTCTTAATATGAAAAATAAAAGTGGAAGGCAGTGCGACTCGGGAGGCTGAGGCAGGAAGATCTCGGGTTTAAAGTCAGACTCAGCAACTCAGCAAGGCACTTAGCCAGACTGGGGATACGGCTCACTGGTTAAGCGCCCCTGGGCTCAATCGCTGGTGCAAAAAAAAAAAAAAAAAAGGGAGTATCCCCTCGGTGGGCCAGGTCCTCCTCTCCAAACTGACCTGATGCTCATGAAGCTGGATGACTAGGGCAAGTATGAAAAGAATTTTTAAACCAGGCAAGGAGGCGAGGAAAATCCCACTGTGGCTTAGTGGGTGTAGGAGCGTTATTTCTGCACCACGTCCACCTTGGAAGGTCGCTCGATGGGGTTTAACGCTTGGTTCTGTTCTCCCCTGATTCTACACTAACCTTTGTCTTTCTCTTTGTGACCATAAAACTTCCCCGACGACACTCTAAAATGCCCAAACTGGGAGTCATTGGTGGACTGCACCCATCGGTTTCTCCAGCGCTCTGTGGGAGGAAACACCAGTGAGGGCGGGAGGTGTGTGGACTGGGTCCAGGGCAGGGAGGGCGGCCCTCCAGGCTCGGCCCCTGCCCACCCCGCGGCGACAGGCCCGGGGGAGCTTACGGCCCCCCACCGCCGGCATTGCCTCTTCACCTCCGTCCAGAAATTCCTCCTGGAAGTAGACAGTGGCCAGCGCCAGGCGCAGCGCGCAGACGGCCCAGATCAGGACGCGGGCGCGTGCCATGGGGCATGCGCGGCGCTCCTCCTCGTGACCGCCCCTGTCCTCCCAGCGGTCTCTGCGGCGAGCCAGGCGCGTCGCCTCAAAACTACATCTTCCGTCACACCTCGCGATTGTGACCCGAAAGCACCTGGGTCGTCGGCGGCCGGGTGCGCCGGACACGCCCTGGAACTACCACTCCCATGATGCCCCGCGATTGTGACCCGGGGCCACCCTGCTCGCGGGAGCGCGGTGGCCTGTGGGAAGTGTAGTCTCTTCAGCCCGGCGCGGTTGCCAGGGCAACGGTACCCTGGGGCCGGACGGCGGGGCGGGAGCGTGGCGCCGGGTTCCACCGATAAACCGGCGTGGAAGTAGGTCTGCGGGGCTGGGCGGACGGCGACGGGTGGGCACCCGGCTGGCGAGGGGGGCTGCGAGGAGATGGGGCGCGATCCACGGCTGGGCTGGGCCTGCGGCCGGAGGGTGGCCCCGCGCGCGGCTGCCCTGGGTCCGGAGCCCTGAGCGGGGTCGGATGCGGATGGCCGTGAGGCCGGGAAGAGCGGATAGGCCGAGGCGTCGGTGTTTCCAAGTTTAGTTGTTGTCACAACTTTACGAGGAACTTTCACGTGCCGTGCCGGTCGCCCCGGCCTTGGCGGTCCACCCCGGCGTTCACCCCCGGCAGCTGCTGACCGGCGGCTTTCCTCGGGCGAGGCGCGGGCCTCGGGGCGGCACTTGTTCCTGGTGCCGGGGAGTGTTCCCTCTGCATGGGCCACGGGCCGGCCTTCGCTTGCTCATGAGAGAGCATTGGGCTTCTTCCCACTTTCTCTCTCTTGCAAATAATTCTTACGACCATTTATTTGCATGGGAGTGGAACTGCAGGATCCTATGGTGACTCCAAGTTTAACCCCCCAGAGGAAATGCCAAACTTTTCCAAAGTGATGGCTGCACCGTTTTATAACCCACCACCACCACCAGACTATGAAGATTCAGGTTTCTTTACAGCCTCATCAGCATTTCTTATTGGTTCTGTCTCTGTATATAGCCCCCCACCCCAGTACTGGAGATTGAACCCAAAGGCACTTCTCCCCTGAGCTACATCCTCAGCCCTTTTAAAATTTTTTATTTTGAGACAGGGCCTCCCTAAGCTGCTTAGGGCCTCGCTAAATTGCTGAGGGTGGCCTGGAACTTGCGATTCTCCTGTCTCAGCCTCCGAAGTTGTTGGGTTTATAGGTATGTGCCTCCACACCCGGCTCCCCTTTTAATTGTTTTGAAGCAGGGTGTCCTCAGTTTTCCCAGACTGTTTTTTTCCCCCTGGAACTGGGGATTGAGCCCACAGATGTTTTGCTACTGAGCTATACCCTCAATCCGTTTTATTTTGAGACAGGATCTCACTAAGTCATCAAGGCTGACCTCAAACTTGCAATCCTCCTGTCTTGTCCTCCTGAATCACTGGGATAACAGGCATGTGCCATCCTGCTTGGCATCTTGAACAAAATCTTAAGGGCTGGGTTAAACACTTTTTTGCTACACAGAAAATGCTTGTGCACATTATTTAAAGGTGTAGAAGATATGAGCGTGCCTGATTTAGCAAACAAAAATACAGGGCACACACTTAAATTCCAATTTCAGATAATATTTAGTATAAAAATATTTGGGTCTTTTTTCCCCTAGTGTTGGTGATAAAACTCAAATTCTTGGCAAAGGAGGCATGTACTCTACCATTAAGCTACATTCCCAGAATTATTATTTTTTTTTAATTTTTTTTTATTAACTACACATGACATTACAATGATCTTGGCAATTCATGCCTTTGAAACAATTGGAGTATAATTTCTCATTTTTCTGATTATACAGATTGCAGAATCACACTGGTCATAGAGTCACCTATATACATACAGCAATCATAATGTCTATTCTATTCTGCTGCCATTTTTTTTTTTTTTAAAGACAGAATCTTATTGAGTTGACTAGGTTAGACTTGAACTTGAGATGGTCCTTCCTCAGCCTTCAGAGTTGCTGAGATTATAGGTGTATGTCACCATAAGAATGGCTATGTCATTCTTTTTTTTTAAATATATATATATATATATATATTAGTTTTAGGTGGATATAATATCTTTATTTTATTTTTATGTGGTGCTGAGAATTGAACCCAGTGCCTCACGCATGCTAGGCGAGCGCGCTACCACTTGAGCCACATCCCCAGCCCTATGTCATTCTTTTTAAAAAAATATTAACTAATTACTTGAAATTCCACTTTAACTAGGTGTCCAGTATTTAATCTGGCAGTCAAGTAAGATCAGTTTCTAAGTAGACAGGCATGGGAGAAAAGACCTCTTCAGGTGCCAAGGTGAATCAAGAAACATTTTTTAGTGAAAGTTAACACCACATGTCCTTGTGAAGGGTCCCTGTGGCTAGGAGGCATGCTCCTGTGCCTCGTCTCTCTTCGCCTCCTGTATTCCGTGGTCTGTGTGCTATTTACTGGGCCTCACCAGGTCTCTGTGGATGGGTTTGGGTTTGGTGAATGTAAACACTGTGGCCGGTCTCCTTGAATGGGCATCTCTGTGCTGGGAGAGCACCACTGTAGGTACGTTCCCATGTGTGGACTTGGCAGGTCACAGCGCCCATGTGCTTTCCATTTTGATTGCTGTTGCAAAGTTCCTTGCTAATGGGGCAGCAGATACATACAGCTATGGTTTGGTGTGGTTCAAGTGGGTATCCCAGTGGTTCATGTGTTGAAATTTAATCTCCATTGTGAGGTATTTTGAATATTGAGACTGTCTCCAACTATGATGTTCAGAGGTAGTTAGGATTAGGTACAGACACCAAAGTGGAGCCCCCGTGGTTGAAAACTGGTGGGCTTGAAGAGGAGACCAAATGGACTGCAGAGCAGTGGGTGGTGCATTCATCTGTTTTCTGTTGCTATAATAAAATACCTGAGCCTGGATAATCTGTAGAGGAAAGAAATTTATTTAGCTCACAGTTCAGGGGCTGGGAATCCAAGACTGGGCAGCTGCCTGTATGAGGGCCTGTGGTACTTTATAAGAAGGTACAAAACAGAAGAGAATGAGTACATGGAGAAGAGGCACAGCATGACGGGTAGGGCTCTTTCTGTCACCACCCACGTCCAAGGGGATGAACCTAGTTCTGCTGGAGCAGCATGAATGTATGTGTGTGTGTGTGTGTGTGTGTGTGTGTGGTGCTGGGGATGGAACTAGGGCCCTTTCACATGCCAGGCAAGTGCTGTAGCACGGAGCTGCCCCCCAGCCCACGTAATCCCTCTCGCTGACCTATTCCCCTGCTCCCAACGCCACCACAGTGGGGGTCTATTTCAGCTTAGTTTCGTGGGGAACAGACCATCCCCAGTCCTCAGCAGGCGGTGTGCTCTGTGGCCAGGGGCGAGCCCTGGACACACGGTACAAACGGGAGGTGTTCTTACCAGCCGCGGTCTGTCTTTCTTCCTAGCATGGCTTTCTTAAGAAAAACCAGCCCACGTGCTCACCGTGTGTTTAGTGACCTCAGTGACATCTCCTCAGAAGATTCAAGGATGGAAGACATCAGAAACTTGAAAGTCAGTAGAAGTTTTACCCAAGCAGCCTCCGGTCAAAGCAGATTTCTAAAAAGAAACCAAACTATCGGCGAGAAACACTTCAACCTGCAAGACAGTGCTGTCCTGGGCAGCGGGGCCCGGCTGACCCTGGGCAGACCCCTCGCCACCGCCTCCAAGATGCGAGCCAGCGCCGCACTCATGAAGCTGGCCCAGCTGGAAACCAAGATCCGGGGTCGGCAGAGCGCGCCCAGGAGCTGGTCTGACACGGAGTCTGACTCGCGGCTCCTGGAGGACGGTCTTGCCGAGAGCCTGGACAGATCCGCCCCGGGAGCCACCTCGGGCCCTGCCTCGCCACACACCCACAGAACTTTCCAGAAACAAGCCCGTGAAGCCCCCCTCCCCAAGAGCAGTGTGCAGAGTGGGCGGGCCAGCAGGTTCCTGAAGAAGAAACAGCCACCTGCGGGTAGCGCGGCCCCCGAGGCCCAGGCTGGGAAGGAGAGGAATCTTCCAACACCCAGACAGAAAGAGCCTGCTAGGAAATTTGATTCCCCAGACAGCGACGAAGAGGAAATGAAAGAATTGCTAGGAAGCTTGATGGAATCTTCTAGAGGAAAAGAAACAAGCCTGAATCAGAGGTTCACCAGCACTGCCGTCAGTGAGAAGGAGCGCGCGAAACCATCGGCGGTGAGGTTTTCATTTGTTTGTTTGAGTCCCCTCTTTGTCACTGCCACCATGATGTCATAGCATGACTTTTATAGTGAGGTCACCAGAAGCTATTTGAGAGAAGAGCTTGATGAGAAAGGGTAGGGTTTGGGCCAATCGCAAGTATCTGTTGAGGGTCTGCATGGTGCGGGGTGGCGCTCGGGACACTTTGCGCTGTGTTGGTGACCCAGCGTCTGTGCCTGGTGTACACCACGGCACTTTGGGTTATTTGGTTTTGTTTTGGAGACATCTTGCTGTGTTGCCCAGCTGGCCTTGAACTCCTGGGCTCAGGCGGTTGGCCTGCCTCAGCCTCCCGGGGGCTTGGGTCACTCTGTGCCCCTCATCAAACAGCAGCAGGAACCAGTTCTCTGAGGACGTGGAGGAAATCAAACTCCGTTTCTCCTCCTGCCCTCCCATGGCACAGACCGCCTCGCTCTTTCTCCTTTTTTGCATTTCTGGGGTTGGAGCCAGGGTCTCAGGCATGCTGCAGTACCACTGAGCTGCACCCAGCCCCCGGTCGCTTCTGTCACCCCCAAGAGATGTGGAGGCTGCGGTGTGCCAGCCCCCAGGCAGCCCCTCTGCAGCAGACCCCGGGGCTGTCCTCTGGTTCTGTTCAGTTTTTCCTGGAGGTTGCGGCAGGTTGCACAGGTTGGGGGACTCTGCACCCCAGACTGTCTCCCACTTCAGACATCGGTGACAACTTTGTGCCTCTAGAATTTCCACAAATTTGGGTTCCCAGAGCCCCTTCTTTGTGCTTAACTTGCTACAGTGGCTCACAGAACTCAGGAAAACCCATTACTGGTTTATTATAAAGAACATTTTCTTTCCCCCTCTCTTTCCCTCCCTCCCTTCCTTCAGTGCTGGGGATGGACCCCAGGGCCTTGCACAAGGCAAGTGCTCTACCACTGAGCCACAGCTCCTGCAAAGGGTATTTTAAAGGCTACAAATAAACAGATACCCAGGGTGAGGTCGGGAAGGGTCCTGAAGGTGGAGTTGGGGTGCCTGTGGACGAGTTCTTGCTCAGCTTCCTGTTGTCCTCCGTGTGTTCAGCTTTCTGCAAGTTCTCTGCGCCCTGTCCGTTGGGGTTTTATGGAGATTTTATTGCACAAGCATGATTGAAACATAGATAACTGCGCAGAAACCTGAGTAGACAAAAAGGTTAGATCTAAAGTTAAAAGACGGTGGGAGCTAGGCGTGGCACACACCTGTAATCCCGGGTATTCAGGAGGCTGAGGCAGGAGGATCACAAGTTTGAGGCCACCGGCCTCCGCAATTAGACCCTAAGCAACTTAGTGAGATCCTGTCTCAAAAACTAAAAAAGAGCTGGGGATGTGGCTCAGGGTGCAGTGCCCCGAGTTCGTCCCTGGCACCAAGGGGGAGAATTCCACTGCTGAGGGGGACCAGTGTCTTTACCCTTGTGTCTGTTGAATGACTCCTGGGTTGTTTCCGGCTTTGGGCTGTCGTGAACGGTACTGCTGTGAACATGTGCATAGCCCTGTCTGAGTCCCTGTTTCCACCGGCACACCTAGGAGGGGATTGCTGGGCCATACAGTAATTCTGTTTAAATGTTTTTGAGGACCTGCACCGTCTTAGCCCCCTTGGCCCTGTGTGGGTGTGGCATTCCTTCAGGTCTGGGCCAACACTGCGGGTGGTGAGATGTGGTAGAAAGGTGTGCTTCAGCGAGGAGGATCTGCACGCTGGTTGGGTGCTTTTGGCATCCTGGGCTGTCAGAGACTACCTCCTCTTGGGGCTGGAAGAACCTTAGTTTAGAAAATGTGTGCGCTGGATATGGTGGCACATGCCTGTAGTCCCAGCTCCTGGGGATTCAAGGCCAGCCTGGCAACACAGTGAGACCCTGTCCCAAAATAAAAAAAATAAAAATAAAAAAGAGCAAGAGTGATTAACAGTACCTATTTGAAAACCAAGTGACCTTTTTGATTGCCTGTGGCACATTCTCTAATCCCGGTTTCCTCATCTCAATGGGCCTTGACTGGGCTGTGAGGAGAGGGGGAGGGCGCAGAGGTCAAAGCTGAATTGCTGAAGTCCTGGTGTCGCTCCCACCAGCTCACCCTTGTGGCATAGAAGGAGTTAATTTATCACGAGGAGTTTGCTAATTTCGTGTCTTTTCTTTCACCAAAGTAGGGTCAGATCCCTGCCCCGCCCCGAGCCCCTCTGTCCAGAGCGGAGCTGTCCTGCTCAGAGCCTTCCCAGACCCTGGGCCTGTCCAGCCCGCGGTCAGCGCGCCGGGGGTCAGCGCGCCGGGCCCTCCGCAGTACTCGGTCGGGAACCTGCTCCCCGCAGACTCAGGCGGCTCGCGACACAGCCTCCCTCGACACAGCCTCCCCCGCCTCCTCGATTTCCATCCCCGACGCGGTTTCAAGATCAAAGTCTTCAGCGATGGGTCACATCCAGCTCGCGTCTTCCTCCGGGAGGAGCCGGAGGAGCGAGCCCGGGCCCGGGGGAGCCTCGGACCCCGAAGCCTCCGACGACAGCCTGAACGGTAACCCCTAACCCCGGCTCTACGGAGCCCCCCCGGGCGGGGCGGGGCCAGGGGCGGGGCCAGGGACTGAGCCCCGCCCACCGCCGCTTTCCGGCTCCGCCCCCTTGAACCACGTCTGTTTAAACAACCCTCCGAGCCCAGCCGTGGTCAGTGGGGCAGCTGGGTCGGAATGGCAGACTGACTGAGCAACAAGAGGTCGCACTGAGGGGTCAGGGTCCCAGTCTGGACCGGCTCAGCGCAAGGGGCACCTCGGGGTGTAGGGATGGCCCCTTCTTGCTGGGCCCTCACGTGGTGGGCAGAGCGAGTTCTCTGGTCTCCTCTTGCCCTTATAAGGACACCAATCCCACTTGGGGGTTCTATTCTCCTGACCTCCTCCAAACCCCATTACCTGCCAAGGACCTCACCTCCTCAGACACCTGGCCCCTCAATACCCCTTAGACTTCGCAGGTCAGAAATATTTATTTGGGGAAAAATTGACCTCTATACTGAATATGCAGAGACTTTCCCCCTGTCCTTATACAGTAGACCTTAACACTGTTTACAAGGCATCCACAGTGTGTCCGCGCTCCCAGTGCTTTGGAGGCAATTTAAAGTACCTGCGAGTGTGTGTTTGAGTTCTGAGCAAATACTGGGCCCTTTTCTATAAGGGACGTGATCAGCCAGATTTTGGTTTCCGCAGGATCCTGGAGCCAGTCTCCACACTTCTGAGGGACAGCTGGACCATTGCAGCAGAGCTCAAGTCTTCAACAGAGATTTAGAGGGTGCACAGATGTCCAGCCCTTCCCATCCCAATAACCCTGCCCAATTATGAAGCAGTAACTTGGGGGAACCCTTCTAGAGGCACAGACATCGAAAAGGCAGCTCAGTTCTTTGTCATTGAGCTCCGGCCCTCCAGCCCTTTGTATGTTTTTGAGACAGGGTCTTGCTGAGGCTGGACTCAAACCTGTGATCCTCCTGCCTCAGCCTCCCGAGTCACTGGGATTACAGACATGCACCCCTGCCTCCTTTTTAAATTCAGAAAAGAAAACAAATTTCTAAGTAGTCAAAGTAAACATTTTTGTTACTTCAACATTATTCAACATTATTTTTAATGCTTAAGAGCAGAAGAGGAGGAAAAAAGCTTTGAAGTCAACATTTATTTTTTCCCTCTGAGAGGCTTTATCACCAAATCAAAGTTAAGTAATTATCTCATAAGTGCCCGATGTGTGGCAGAGGGTGCCAGGTGTCATGCTGGCAAGGACAGAACAAACAAGCAAACATATTCCCTGCCCTCCAGGGACCAGCACGGCCATAAGTGGAGTCAGACCAAGACTAATGGGCAAGTCAGGCCTGTGCTTCCAGCCATCTAGGAGGCTGAGGCAGGAGGTTGAGGCAGGAGGCTGGCTTGAGTCTGGGAGTTCAAGGCCAGCCAGGGCAACTTAGTAGGGCCTGTCTCAAAAAATAAATAAATAAATAAATAAGTGGTGGGTAAGTTAAAGTCCCATGACTCAGCAAGCAAAGATCTGCTAGGGTGAGTGGTGAAGCATCCCCAACAAGGGTCTGTCCCTTCCAAGTGGCCCTGCCCAGCCACAGAAAAGCAGGTGTGTTCAAGGCTGTGTGTCTTAGTTTTCTTCTGCTGTAATAGAGAATCACAGACTGGGTAATTTATAGAGAATGGAGGTTCATCCGGCTTATGGTTCTGGAGGCTGGAAGTCCAAGATGCAGGGGCTGCTGCCTGGTGTCTCGCTGCTTCTTTCTGCAGCATCCCAAGGTGGAAGGCCAAGGGAAGCTGAGAGCCAGCAAGCAAGAGGGGGTGGCAGCTGTGGTGCACATTATAACCCCAGCCACTTGGAAGGCTGAGGCAGGAGGATTAAAAGTTTGAGGCCAGCCTCAGCAACTTAGGTCCTGTCTCAAAAATTTAAAAAGGGCTGAGGATGTAGCTCAGTGGTAAGTGCCCCTGGGCTCAATCCCCAGGACCAAAAAAATAAAAAGAAGGTCGGAACTCACTTTTATAATGAACCTACTCCTGAGCTACAGACATGGATGAGGTGGGGTTGCTAGGACCTGATTGCATCTTGAGTGCCAGGTCCCAACACGCTGCATTGGGCATCAGGCACCAACACAGGGATTTGGGGACACGTTCACTGAAGCATCATGGATGTGAGGAAACTCCCTGGAGCCCCTGCAGGGCCCCTCCTGCCAGATGCCACTTGGCATGTACGTTCCTGACTCTGATCCTTAGTCGTACACATGAGGAATCCAGCACGAGGGGCTGGATAGTGAGTGGGGTCCTCAGCTTGTCCCATGTCACCTTCACAGATGAGAAGGTAGGCCTAAGCTGATGCCAGGCCCCGGGTTCCTGCCTCCTGCCATCTGTCCTTCTGCTCTTTCCCTTTGGTGGTGGTCTCCCCTGGTGGCCAAGTGTCTCCTTCTGTCCTTCAGCTGCAGCCTTGAGGGACATAGTGGGGGACGGTGAGTCCACGTTTGGTGGACGACCAGCCTCCCCTCCAGCAAGCTGTGCCATCTCAGGCTATTTGGGCCTCAGTCTCCTCGTCTGTAAAACGGGCATCAGTGAAGTGGTCCACGTGAAGCCCCTCGGCTGGTGCTGCCTCACAGCGGTGCCTGTGAGAGTCGGCTGCGGTGACCATATGGGCACCCAGTGCCACTGCTGTCCCCGAGTGCAAGTCTCAGACACCCGATGCTGCCTTTTCCCCTGACCACCCGGAGGTCTTAGTTCACAGGCTTTGTCTCCTAAAACGTGGTGACGCAGGTCTTTGTACCCACCTGAGTGGCCTTGCTGGGGGAGTCAGGAGGGTTGCCGCCCCTGGGCTGGAGCCAGGGCCTTTGCCCGGGGCTGTGGCCAAGCCCCTGCCCTCTGTCTCCCTGGGCCTTTCGCTGGCTGTCAGGTGAGAACTTGGGCACTCGGGGCCACATCTCACCTGGGCCTGAGGGCCCTTCCTCCACTGCCAGGCTGCCCCTTGCTGTCCAGCCCTCACACCGCGGCATTTTTGTCACCAGTTCCCTGAGGTGCCTTACGTCATCTGCTCTGTCTAGACTGGGGGCCTGGAAGCCCCTTGTCTGTTTTTATAGTTTATCAGAACGATCCACGCCCTTAGGTGACACATAATCTGTGACTGCTTTCACACTCTTCTGGCTGAGTAGAGTTGTCCCTTGGTACCTGCAGAGGGTTGGTTCAGGACCCTACAGATATTCCAGTCCCTTCTGTCAGAGGGATGGGAGGAACCTCCGCACATCCTCCTGCACACTGAGCCACTGCGGGAGGACTTGGGCCTGAACGGTGTAAATGCTGTGCAATACTTGATACAGTGCATTGTTTTCTTTCATTTTTTTGGGGGGCGGGGTGTAAGGGATTGAACCCAGGGGCGCTTGGCCACTGAGCCAGGTTTTACTTTTTCTGTTGTAGTTGTGGATGGACAGAATGTCTTTATTTTGTTTGTTTATTTTTACGTGGTGCTGAGGATTGACCCCAGGGCCTCACACATGCTAGGCAAGTGCTCTGCCACTCAGCCCCAGCCCCAGCCCCAGCCCCCTTTCTATTTTTTATTTGGAGACAGGGTCTTGCTGAATTGTTTAGGGCTTTGCTAAGTTGCTGAGGCTGGCTTTGAACTCGAGATCCTCCTGCCTCAGCCTTCTGAGCCTCTGGGTTACAGGTGTGGGCCACTGCGCCCAGCAACTGTATTGTTTTAGGATTAATAACAAGAAAAAAGTCCATGTGCGGGATAAATGCATCCCCCAGATACGTTGATCTGACTTCCATGGACTCCAAGCTGCAGAACCCACAGATACAGAGGGCCAACTGCAGTCACAGCTGTACCCCCAAAACTGAGCGTATTTCTCCTGTAGCCCCTTAGAGAAAAGCTGCTGACCCTGTGCTGCGAGTCGAGGTCAGGGACTGAATGTCTTCGTGCTTCCTAAGCATTTGTGGAGTGAATGAAGGAGTCAACGCTGTCTTACTAATTTTTAAATTACAGATTTTAGAATCAATATTTTATCCCTTGATGATCTGTCTCCGGCCGTCAGTGAGCGATCAGACTTGGAACAGAAAGTAAGTACGTTGGAGTTATTTTATTTATTTATTTATTTTATTTATTTAGTTTTTTGTGGTGCTGGGGAGGGAACCCAGGGCCTCAGGATTGCTCGATGATTGCTCTACCACTGAGCCGCAGCCCCCGGCCGTGGTCCTTCTAGATTGTAGAAAGTCTGGATGGGAGGTTTTGTTTAGGCCAGTGGTCCTGCGTGCGGCACGTTGGCACACCTGGGGACACTTTGGTGGTTAGGATTGGGGAGCAGGGGGTGGATGCTGGGAGGTACTCAGAGTCTTGGAGAGCACAGAACCTTCTGGCCCCAGGTGTCAGGTCATGGCAGTCCAGGGACTCTGGTGTTGGCCGTAACAAGCCCAGCAGGTGAGCAGGTGATCCCAGCCACCCCCGTCAGAGCACCCCAGAGTCACGTCCAGGCTGAGGCAGCCCCATGTGTCCTGGTGGTGGTGACTTTCGTGTAACCACCTGCACGATCAAAAGCACATCTCCATGATACGTGGGATGCCATGACGTTTCCCATGTGTGCCACCTGAACATGTCCCACGTCATGAGGCTTGTGACTCTCACCCTTTAGAAAACCCTGCGCTAAACATCTCTGGGGTCCTGGGGTGGGGTGCACTCCATGTCGTGCTCAGCACGCCGAGGCCCTGGGTTCCATCCTCGGCATCCCCTGGGCAAGGGTTCCATCCTTGACACCCCCCCAACTCCAGGGGGACCAGGGTACCCTCCCAGGGGGACAGCTGAGGTGTCCTGCTCACGCAGATGTGGTATCCTTAGAAGACTCACTTTCCAGTGACCTCTGCCATCCTTCGTTTTAGGAAGGTGCCACTCAGAGGGCGAGAGCGCCAGGCAGGAGCCGCCCCGACCAGACACCTGCCGCACTGGACGCACCGAGCCATGCCCTGCCCATGGGCTCAGCATTTCAGGGGAAGGCCACCTCTGTGGTTGGGGACGAGGGCCTCCCCACTGAAAGTGAGGTCTCAGAGCGTCTGAGTGCCAGCCTGGCCTCTGCCGCCCAGCAGGACAGTGTGTCCAGCGCCAAGCCGTCATCCGAGACGCCCACAGAGGACAGCGTGGGCTCGGCGTATTCGGAAGATTTTGAAAGCCCGCCGAGTCCCCCGGCCTCCGAGCCGACGGCTCCTTCCGAGGCAGCTCTGGACGGAACACTGGCCACCGTGTCGGAATGCTGGAGGAGTCTGAGGACAGACACCCCCAAACCGCCCAGGGCTAGGAAGAAGGGCGGCCGGGGCGTGGAGAGGGTCAGCGTGAGGGAAACGGCCGTGCAGACCCTGGACCCGGCCCTCACCTACCAGTGGACCAAGGGTGAGTGGGGCCGCCTTTGGGGACCTGGGTGGCCAGGACAGGTGCTGGGGAGTGACCTCTGGCTTCCCGGGAAGCACGTGGAGAGCCGGGTTGCTGGGATCTGGCTCTTGGCATCAGCCAGCTTCTAGGTGGGGGCTTGGCACCCGCTCCCCTTTCCTAGATGAGGGGCAGCTGCCCTGGGGGTTTCCAGTGTCTCCCCAGCTCTGAGGCGTACAGGAACCTTCCAGAACCAGACACCACGCAGCCCTTCCTAACCAGGCAGTTCTGTCACTAGAGGCAGTTCTGGTGCTGGGACCGGGGGACACAGTGCTCCGGGCATCTGCTGGGCGGAGGCCAGGGTGCTGCTCAGCATCCTCCAGCACCCAGGACGCCCAGTCCAGGGAGTGGGGAAGCCCCGGCCAGGAAGGGTGCCACCAGCCTGTGTCCCTCCAGGATCTGCCTCCAGCTCCAAGGGCCTCTGGGCGCCGGCTCAGGGTTAGCGGCTCTGAACTCCGTGCTCCCAGCTCTCGGCTGCACCCTCGTGGCCGGCTCGCTCCTGCTCTCACCGTTTCTACTCTGTGCTTTACAATGTCGGGAAGGGACACTGCTCCTCACCCAGTGTGACTTTCCAGGCGCTTCTCATTCCCGGTTTCAGGCTGGCTCTTCCTGTTAATACCCTGCTTCCTTTCCTGATCTAGATGGCCGTCTACACTGGCTCCTCCCTGAGCTGCGCACCCAGTCCTTCTGTTTTTTGGACAGGGTCTAAGAGGCTGAGGCTGGCCTTGAACTTGCAGTCTTCCTGCCTCAGTCTCCTGAGTCATGAAAACATGTGTAAACCCGGGGTCCGGGACTCAGGGACCTTTGTGTCCCCGCCGTGTCCACGAGCAGTGTCTGATCACATAGCCAGTGGGGGACACTTCTGTCCATACTTGTGGCAATTGAGATGCTACTAGAAGAGTTAGGGGACTGTTTTGCTGGGCTGGGCCTGAGGGCGAGAAGGGAGAGGAAAGGCGGTCTCTGGGAAGCTGGCTGGGCAGCGTGCAGGGCACACATTCTTGAGTCACTAGACCACCTGGTGGAAGACAGGCCGGCATGATGGACACCTCCAGCCACTATGAGCTGCAGTGGTCACGTCAACCAGTGGCTCCTTTGTTGAACCACTGAAAAAGCTTTGGGAAAAACTTAGAGAAAGATTCTAAAAGCAAGCACGTGGCCATCGTGTTAGATAGAGGAGGATGGGTGCGTGGGCTACACTTCGGTTGCAATCCCAGGCCTCGTCACTCACTCCTTTCCTCTTTGTGCTTGGGACAGCGGCCGGGATGGCGGCCATTGGGCCTGCCCTCGGGAGTTCCTATGTCGACCCAGTGCCCATTGCCAGCCACGTCGTCAGTGCCGATGCCTTAGAAGGTAGGAGCCTGGTTGGGGTCCTTCCTGGGGAGCCTGGTTGGGGTCCTTCCTGGGGAGCGGGTGCATCTCTTGGAGGTGTTTCACTTCTTTAATGCTGGGTTCAAGAATCCATGGGTGGAATTATTTCAGTGGTTCGAAGGATCCCCAATGGCAGCCTGAGGGTGTCTGCGAACCTTCTGTCACCTGCAAAAGGACACCCATGTCCACCAGGCAGCCTAAAGGCAATTCACTGCGCTGGGTGCGGCTCAGGGGAGGAACACTGGCCTAGCAGGTGCGCGGCCCTGGGTGCCATCCCCAGCGCCATCAAAACACCTGCCCTCAATAATTCCCCCCAGCTCACCCCTTCTGCCCCAGCAGATGCTTTTATTTGAATTCTGTTTGAGCTTTTTGCACATATTTAGTTTTATCCCCTAAAGACACCGGCCAGTGCTGAGTCACAGCAGCAGGACATGGCCTTTGCGTCCTGGGCTGAGACAGGAGTCCTTGTGGTCTGGGAAGAGTGTTAGCCTCCTGGAGGTGAGGAAGGTGCCCCAGAAGGTCCAGTTCAGACCTGCCACAGAGACCTTACACACACACACACACACACACACACACACACACACACACGTATATTTTTGGTACGAGGATTGAACCCAGGGGCACTGGACCACTGAGCCACATCCCCAGTCCTTTTGTAAATATCTTATTTAGAGACAGGGTCTGACTGAGTTCTGAGGCTGCCTTTGAGTTTGCTGTCCTCCTGCCCCAGCCTCCCGAGCTGCTGACGTTCCAGGCGTGGCCACTGCTCAGCAGTCTTAATACTAAATAAACAGCAGAATTCTTGTTTTTTATCAGATTTAATATTTTTAGTTAAATGTCAGTTTTTTTTGTTTTGTGGTGCTGGGGGTGGAACCCAGGGCCTTGTACTTGCTAAGCAAGTGTCCTACCCGAGCTACAAACCCAGCCCCAATTTTTAAAAAAATATTTTTTAGTTGTCAATGGTCCTTTATTTTACTTATTTATATGCAGGTCTGAGAATTAAACCCAGGGCCTCACACGTGCTAGTCAAGTGCTCTACCACTGAGCCCCAGCCCCAGCCTTAGCCCCAACTTTTTAATTTAAAATTTTATTTATATTTTCAGAAAATGTGTTTTTAGCTAGGCACAGTGGCACACACCTTGGTCCCAGCCACTCAGGAGGCTGAGGCAGGAGCATCAGGTGAGCACAGGAGTTTGAGCCCAGACTGGGCAACAGAGAGACTAGCTCTTAATATTAATAAACTTTAAGTGTGACATCCACACACACTGTCACAGTGTAACAGAATGGAGACGGGAGTGGCAGTGGTCTCTCCAGGAGCAGCCCCACAGTGCCAAGTGCAGGGGCTGCAGGGCTGGGGTCCCTGGAGAGCTGCTGAGTAACGAGGGGGTGCAGTCCTGACAGCCTACAGCCCTGCGGTGCTGGCGCTCAACGACATGCTGAAGCAGCAGCTGAACCTGACGCAGCAGTTCATCGCCGCCAGCCGCCACCTGCACCTCTCCCTCCTGAGGTCCATGGAAGGGGACTCGTTCCACTACCACTCCCTGGAGGAAGCCAAAGAGGTGATGGCAGAGAGAGGGGGCGGAGTGGGCGGGGCCAGGGCCACCCGTGGGAACCTGTCCCTCAGGTTCTGGTGCATGGCCCCCTGCTGCAGGGATGTGGTTGGGCTGTCACCTTCTGCTACTGTCACTTCTCCTTGTCCTGTGATGAGCTGTGTATTATACAGTAAGCCTGAGTCTAATGGGGCTGTGTGGCCTCAGACCAAAGGGGACCTGCCCTGTGGGGCCCTGCCCTCTCCCCAGACCCTGAGTGCTGCCCGAGGTGGTTCCTGAAGGCACCGGACTTCCTCCACCGTCCCCTGGGCTGCAGCTCGAGAGACGCCCTCACCTCCCTTTTTCCTCTTGAAAAGCTCAATTTCCTTCTGCTAACCAGAATATATGAGCTCGTTTGATTAAAATTCCATCGGGGGCTGCGGCTGGCTCAGCGGCAGAGCGCTTGCCTGGCATGTGGAGGCCAGGTTGGAGCCTCAGCACCGCATAACAATAAATAAAATAAAGGCTTGTGTCCAACTGCCACTAAACAGAATGTAAAAAAAAAAATTCTATTGAGGTATTAATTTACCGTCCTCCATAATCTCAAAGATAACTATTGCCAGCGTGATAGACTTCCATTTTTTTCTGTGCAAAGTGTGAACTATTTAAAGTATTTAAAGAAACAGTGTCATCCTGTATGTGCTGTTCTATTTTTCATTCATTCTATATACAAAATATTTCAGCACATTGTTTCCAAAAAAAAATTTTAAAAACAGTCATAAAGCCACTAACCCTAAAACTGGATTTGCTCTGTATCATGGAAGACCCAGTGTTCAGATCTCCACTTGTCATGTTGAAGTTGCACATTTTATCCCCCTTGTAAGTTCACTTCTTAATCTACTTGTTGGTGCCGGTGGAGCCCAGTGTCTGGCGCGTGCTGAGCGCTTGCTCTGCACTGAAGCCTACACACCGAGATGGTCCCGTGTCTTTTTTCGGAAGTGTCTCTCTAGAGCCTGTTCTTAACCTGAGCAGCAGAATCCCTGCAGGGTGAGAGCAGCTGCTGGGCCCACTTGGGGCAGGACGGGTGTGTCTCCCGAGTGTCCTGTGATGCAGGCAGCCAGCTGGCTGGGGACCCACTCTGAGAAACGCTGCTCTGCAGGCCATCCGCCCCCTTGCCGTCATCCATGGAAGGAAACAGGTCATCTGACCTGCGCTCATTCTGGACATTGCTGAGGGCACCCTTGGGGCCCTGTAACTCACTCTCTGCTGGCCGTGATTAGCCAGCCCTCAGCTGAGGCGACCTGGCCACGTCACCTGTGTCAGTCCGCCACAGCTCCTGCCGACCGTGTCCTAAACGTGGCACCCAGGTCCTCCTTGACTGCTCTGAGGCTGCCCTTCCCTCTCCAGCCCTGAGCCTGCGGTACCTCCCGGTCTGCACAGCGCCCGGCGCTCCTGTGTACCAGGACCAACCACCTGGCCTCCCCCACCAGCCCTGTTAGACCCTGTTGGGGGTGGGCGCCATGGCCGCGTCTCTTCCCAGCACCCAGCAGCCTCTAGGTGCGTTTTGGGGTGGCAGTGCTGATGGTGTCCCCATCTGTCTCCTACCCAACAGTATATCAGGTGCCACAGGCCCACACCGCTCACCATGGAGGACGCTTTGCGGGAGGTGCAGGAGGAGCTGTAAGTACCAGGTGAGGCTTGAGTTGGGAACACGCACACACGCACACCAGTTTCCAGGTGACATCTGTGGTGGGGCACAGTGTTGGGGTAAAGGCTTGGGATTCACTGGAGGCGAATCCCTGCTCAGAGACCTGCTCAGCACGCTGCTGAGGAAATTGCCCGTCAGCATGAGGACATGATGCAGGACAGTGGGGACGCAGCACAGGCCAGGTACTGGCTTCCTGGTGGGCACAAGGCAGACGGAACCGATGGCACGGGACTGCTGCTCACTAACAAGGACACGAGAACAACTCCTCACAAGACGCCAAGGCCCCCGCTCCACGGGGCCTCATCCAGAACACACCCCTCACTCCACCCACGCTTCTCACTTGCACACGGAGGAGGAGGTCTTTAAAAAAAGGCTTTATTTGAAGGCAAAACAGTAAAATCCACAAGAAATCGTTAACAGCACGAGTTTGTTTTATCCAGAATCAGACACATTTGAACAAGTCACAGCTACGGGAAATCTAGAACAAAATCAGATATTTACCACGTGGGCATGAAAAATTGTGGGAGAAACTGCATCTTACTGAAAAGAATTTTTCAAAAGTACTTCTTTACAAATAAATGGCACCGCACCAAGCTGCCGATGGATCCAGGTGTGGGGGATCCAGGCAGCTTCTGGCAGAGGTGACACTCCTCCTGGCCCCACCTCCCTTTGGGGGTGGGCTGGGGGTATGCAAATGAAATGACAGAGTAGGAAGTACCAGTTGGGAGGTGGCACTCCACACTCAATCTAAATGGGTCCTCGCACGCAAGTGCTGGTGTTGGGTTCCCCTAAGTGACAACCACAAGCAGAGGGGCTACAGATGCCTCCAGGGTGTCATTGCTGACCTGAGGACACCTTAGGTCGTTTGGTTAGAACCTTTTCTTTCTCCAGATAATAGCAAATGGCTAACATTTGAGGAAGAAAAACCAACATACACAACTAAAATAACTGAACTAGGGGCCGGGACACCTCAGAGGAGAGGGGTTTAAAATGATCTTATTGGGGAGCGTCTTAGATCAATACTTTTTCTAAATCAATCGGAATCAAAATGAAAACTCAGGTGAACTCTGCTAATCCAGGAGGTTTTGCTTTTCCTGTTTTAAACTATGAGCAGTGACAGCACCTGGCCTTCGCTTGCCACTACAAGGGCAGCGGGTGGGTGCTGCCCTAGCTGCCCCCTGCTGGTGCCTGGCCTGCCCTCCACACTGCTGCTGTGGAAGGGGCTTAGGTCTGACTCAGGGAAGACGCGCAGCATCCACTCCGTCAGGTGTGAAGAATTCTCATTCAGGGACTGGAGGGTCTTGGGTTTCTTGCTTCGCTGTAAAGGGAAACGCGCTCACGGCCGTGGTGCTGTGGCACCTCCTCCCGGGGTGTGCAGGCGGCGCCTGAGCCCTTCCCACGCCAGTGGCATGGATCTCCTCACTAGGCCCGTGTTAGTCTTCCTTCTCTTCCTTGCGTGCCCCAAACGTGGAGACTGCGTGAGAACCGAGCTGTCACTACGATCTTCCATTGCCAGCAAGCCAGGAAGGTCCCGCCAGCCAGCGCCGCCAGCCACCGGCGCTCCCGGCCCTGGGCTCCTACTTACACTCGTCCCTGGCCTTCATGCGGGCGATGAAGGAGTAGCTCTTATTCCGACGGTAGTTCTCGTAGGGGTCGTCCAGGGCCACGCCCACGCCCTTGTACTGGTCCCACTTATCCCGGACGTCCCCGCCTTTGATGGGGTCCTGGATCCCCTGCTCTTTCACACCAAGGCCGCCAGAGCCACTCCAGCCTGAGAGAGGGGGACACATGTTCAGAGCCCACGCAGGAGGCCTACAGGTGGTGGTGGTGGTGGTGGGGTTGTCAAAAGGGAGGTTGCTTTCGGGAAGGTGACAGACACAAGAGCAGGCAGTATTTACACAGAATGAGGAGCTAATAAAGAAGACCCAGCACCAGCCCGGCTGGCTGGCCACTTCAGAAGTCCTAGCAGTAATCCCCAACTTCCTGTTACTCCTCTCTCCCCATACAAAGAGGACAAGAAAACCCCGTCACCTCCTAGATCCCCAAGTGGCCAAGGGTTGGGGTCTGAGGACACTTACCCATCTTCACCAGCATCTGATGGCCTTTGTTCTCTTCTCCGAGCCTCGAGTCAGGTATAGGAGGCGCTGAGTTAGAACCCAGACCAGCCGAAGAACTAAAATTAAGACAGGTTACATTTTTCAAAAAATACACAAATTTATTGGAATGACAAATACTAGAATATAGTTTGTCGCTCAGATAACTGCTTGCCATCATAAGGTAGACACAGTGTCTCTACTGTTCTTCATCCTCTTCATCTGCCTGATAAAGAGGTTCTCTCAGATGATGACCCTGTCCCTGCTTAGCATCAAAGGCACAAGGTCACACCAAGCCTCTAAAGTGGTCAGAAATAGAGTCCACCTACTGTGCAAGCCTCATCAAGTGTGTGGCTGTGGGGTGGGCAGAGCAGAGGTGCTGCTGCCACTGGGTCAGCACCTGTGGCACCTGTCTGTCTTCTAATGACAAATGATTACACCATGACAGCAAAATACCAGAGGCTCCCAGTGCTCCCTGCAGGGCCCAGTGAGGACAGAGATCTTACGGCGGGGTGGGGCTCCTGGATCTTGAGCGGCGCCTCCTTCCCGGGGAGTATGACTTGGACCTGGAGCGTGACCTGGACCGCGAGCGGCTTCTTGAGGAGCGAGACCTGCTGTGGCTCCTGTGGAGGACAGCACCCTGGGTCAGAGGCTACGGGGACTCGGGTGTGGGCACCCCGCACGGAGGGGCTCGTGTGCTGCAGCTGAGGCCTACCTGGATCTGGAGCGGGAGTAGGAGCGTGAGCAGGAGCGCGACCTGGACCTTGAGTAGGAGCCTGACGACTTGGAGGACCTCGAGTTGGAGCGTGAAGAAGAGCGCCCTCGGCTTTTGGATCTGCTCCGAGACCTGGAGGGGCCGCTGTGGGGAGAGGACTGATGAGCGGAGCCCCAGGAGCCCTGGCCTGCTGGGACCCCAGTTCCTGTGAGACCCAAGAGTCCGCAGCCTCGAACCCAGGCGAGTGCTGTTCCCCAATCCCACTGCTGATCACAGAAGACCCGGCTCCACTCTGCTCAGTGGTGACCACCTGTGGCCAGGGAAGCATGCTGACAGGGGTGCACGTCAAACATGCGGCAGGACAGGCAGACCCACGGCCACCTGGGCTCACCTGTTCCTCTTCTCCTGGCCTTTCCGCCGCCGTGCCCGCATTTTTGCTCGGAAGAACTCATAGAGGCCATTCTGCTCCCAGCCTTCGCTGTAAGACATGGCATTTCCCATGTGACTGCAGATGCCCCCCCCTCAGTCAACTTATGAAAACGTCATCTGGATGACCCCTGCCCCAGGGAGCCCTGGAAGGCTCGTTCCCAAGACACCCCCATGAGCGTGCTGTACAAAGCACCTCAGATATTCCAACAGGGCTGCCCTTTCCCCACCAGGAAGCTTGGCCTGAGCCTGGCTGGACCCAGCCCCACGCCCCTCCACCCTGCGGCCTCCCTGCAGGAGGCACAGGAGCCTGTGGGTGTTGTGGCCAGAGACGAGGCTATCCAGCTCCCTAAGACTGGGCCTGAGGCCACCAGGGCATGGAGTGGTGACTGCACAGGGACATCATGTCTGTGCCACACTGGTGACAATCTCAGGATGGTGCTCTTCTCCTTAGAGATGGCCACATACAACCAGAGTAGATTCGGTGGCGGGGCATGTGCAAGGCCTGGGCTTCATCCCCAACACCCCCCCCCCCCAAAAAAAAAAGCAGACTGCCATATCTTCTTACCTGAACAGAAGACCTGGCTCTCAGTCTGTTCCTCAAATGCAATACATTCAGGGGGAAGACAGGCCAGGAGGTGGGGAAGAGGCTCCCTGTCTCTCAGGACCCCCCCCAGCACCTGTCCCGCTGCCCCTTCTCCGGGGCCTGTACCTGTTCCTGGGCCTGTCGTGGGAGGGAGGGCTGTAAAAGGCTTCCACGGCCGCCAGCAGCCTCTCGCTGGGTGGCATGGGGGGCGGAAGGCGGATGTCTTTAGGGTCCAGAGGCTTGTACTCGTGGTCTTCCAGCTGCAGGGAGGACAGTGCTGTGGCTCATGTTCACAAATCCCTCTCCAGGCCACCCAGGGCACGGCAGGGGAGTGACAGCAGCACAGAGGGCCTCACCCAGTCCTGGGAAACCCTGCCCTCAGAGGACTCAGCCACAGGGATCTTGCCTCAGAAAAGTCACTCAGGTGATGTGGCCGCCACCTCAGATGATGCAAAACCACTCAGTTTGTCCAGACATCTGGACCCCAAGTGCCCCACCTGTGGACTGCTACCCTCTGCTCCCAACGGGCTTGCAGCCAGCTCCTCTCCACCCTGTCCAAGCCGTGCTCCGTGTGTCACCCGCTTTATGCTCCAATCCCAGCTTCTGGGAATTTCTGGAGAGAGCCTGGCAGCGCCCCCAGCTGAGCGCTTCGCAGCCAAGTGTGCTGTGCCCGAGCCCCAGCCCGGCTCTTCCTCACAGCCTCAGCTTGCGCTCCAGCCACCCCTCCCGCCAGGACAGCTTGCAGAGATGTCTCCTGAGAAATCCCTATGGCATCAGCCTCTGGACAGGTGGCTTCTGAGGACAGGGACTAAGAGGCAAGAGTGGAGGACCCACACCTCACACATAGCCCGGATGGTTCTCTGTGGCTGCAAAGCCCCCTTGCAGAGGGAAGGGAAGGAAGCGAGTGGATGTGGCCTTGCTCAGGAGCACAGGCACACGCCTCTTCAAGGCAGGAGTGGGAAAGGGGAAGGACGGGCCTGGGAAGGGAGCCTAGCAGCCTTCTGGAGAACATGCTCCCGGTGCTCCGTTCTCAGGCGGGTAAGCAGAGGGGCCCACACAGCAGGTGCTGCCACCTAAGGCAGCCCAGGGCTCCCGAAGTCTTACCTTCACGAGGGGGGCCATCAACCCAGCAGGGAGATCGAAGTAGGGCACATTGGGGACCAGGCTGGGGTCGTCATGGTTGATATGGGGAGGGCCCTGTCTTCGCATGTGGGGGGGCTGCCCATTAAAGCCATGGGGGGGAGGGCCAAAGTCAGGGTGCTGAGGCCCAGCCCAGGGTGGGTGCTCATTGATCCCAGGATGAGGCATGCGGTGGCCAGGGTGGTGGTGAGGGGGTCCCATCTCTGCAAAAAAGAAATTTTGTGTCAGGACTTATTGGTAGCTGAGAGGTACCAGTAAGTCAGGACCACCCAGCTAAGGGGCAAGGAGGCCCAGCTGAGGGAAGGAAATATCAAGGCCATCGAAACCTCAAGACAGCAACGCCCAGGGCTGAATTGTGTCTAACCCACCAACAGTGTGAATACGGGAGTCCTAACCCCAGACCTAACCCAGAAAGTGGCTGTATTGAGAGGCAGGGAGTAGTTATGGAAGCCAGGGCCGTCTCCACCCAGGCGGAGGCTGGGCCGTTACAGAGGCAGTTACTAACAGGAGGTCTTCAGGGTGGACCCTAACCCAACATGACTACTGTCCTTGTAAGAGGAGGTTTCCAGGACACAAGCTCACACTGAGGGGAAGATGCCATTTACAGGCCTGGGAGTGGTCTCAGAAGAAACCAGCCCCGCTAACACCTTGACCTCAGACTGCTGGTCTCCAAAACTGAGGGACAATCAACATCTGTCACAGAAGCTGCTCAGCCCGGGGTCCCTGTTAGAGCTGTCATGGAACACTAACGTGAGCCATGAACACGGGGAGTGCCCCACAGATAAACAAACATCACAAACAGTTTAACAAATAAACATGGAAGTTAGTAGAAATAAAAATTTTTTTAACAAGTAAATGAATGAAAGACTGAGTAAAAGACGACTCTGCCCTAAAGCCAGGAGCTACTTCCCTTTTGGAACCTCACGTCCTCCTGTGCAAACTGCAGTGAGTCCAGGCAAACGTGAGAGCAGGCCCAGGCTTCAGACCTCTAACAGCCAGCCCGGCATGAGGAGGGACTCAAGGTGGCGAGGACAAGGAGCAATCAGACATTTGCAGGCACCGTCTTTGCCTCTCCCACCTCCCTAGGGCCCAGGCTGAGCTCCATGTCAGCTTATGGCCCTCTGCCTGTTACTGTCACTTCGGGGCAGGCCAGGGGTGCGTTTCCCAGGCATTCCCACGGGCACCCTCACACTTACCGGCCGGGAAATCCCCCTGGGGGTAGTCGAAGCGGTGAGGATAGGGTGGCCGCTCAAAGGGATGGCGTGGGGGGAAGTCATCTTGCATGAAGCGAGGTGGGAAGCGGTTGAAGTTGTGGGGGTGTGGTGGCTGGTTGAACTGTGGGTGCTGCTGGTGGGGCGGGAAGGGCCCACGGAAGTGGGGTGGCCGCTGCATGCGGAAGGGTGGCTCGCGCTGGCCCCCACCCCAGGGCGGCTGCTCATGCTGACTGTTCCAGGGACCCTCGAATTGGCTGTTCCAGTTGGGGTCGGGCTGACTGTTCCAAGGCGCGTCACGCTGGCCATTCCAACCAGGGTCCCCACGCTGCTCACCCCACATGCCCTCGTGGCTGTTGTTCCAGGGCGGGCAGTGGGGTGGCCCACCCTGGTGGTGTGGGTAGGGGGGTTGCTCAGGAGGCTGTAAAGCAAAGCACAGATGTGAGCCTCCTGCAAGGTCAGGCCCCAGGGTGCTCAGGAGACACTGGCAGCACCGGCCTCATCCAGTGGCGCCTCAGGCCTGGAGGGCCCAAGCCTGGTGGCAGATCTGCTGCATCTGGGCAGACACCGTCACACCCAGGCCCTCAGGCTCCCAACCACCACACCTGCAATCTCATTCCCATGGCTGCTCCTGGCCACCAAGGCCCACTGCGCATACAGGCAAGACCACCATCCTCTCCCTGCCACTGCTTAGACAAACACCAGCTCCCCCACCCTTCAGGGGTGGTACAGTGACTGTATCAGCATGGCCAGGCCCCAGGTGTCCACGATGGACGTTCTTCATGACACTCCCTCCCTGTTTCACTTTCTCTTTCCCTCCAAGGCCATCACCTGGGGTTGCTGCCCTCAGACCTATCCCAGGACCTGCCTCTGGGCCCTGTGCTGACACAGCAGCCTTCTGCGGCTTGAAGGCAGCAGCTCCAGACTCTGGTGCTCTGACAGCGCCCTAAAGCCAGGATCATAAACTCTGACGGGGGCTGGGGTGCAAATGTACACAGATGAGGCTGGCCAGGCTGCCAAACCCCTTCAAGAGAAAGCAGAAAACCAGATTTTTAAAAATAAATAGCCAAAACATCAACATGAACAACAGAAACAGCAGGGACTATTTCTAAATGCGTGAGACTCCATGTGGGTACCACAAGCCTACATTGATTTCTGTTTCAGTCTTTCGGCACCAGGGATGGAACCAGGGCACTGTCCACTGAGCCAAATGCCCAGGCCTTTTTATGTTTTACTTTTGAGACAGGATCTTGCTAAATCGTTTAGGGCCTCACTAAGTTGCTGAGGCTGAACTTGCAATCCTCCTGCCTCAGATTCTGTACTACCTTATGTAACAGGCGTATGTCACCATGCATGGCACCAACCTTGGACGAACTTGTGTACTGCTGGGTCAAGGCGGAGCCTCAGTGAGCCTGATCTAGTTTGCAGACAAAGGGCCTATTTCCCGCCTACAGAATGGATGAGAGCTGCTCTCTACTCAGGGGGCACCCCCAAAGCTCCCCCACCACACAGCTCAGAGCCAGCACTCAGAGGAGGGAGCAGTCTATGAAGATGTCCTATTTTCTGTGAAGTTAAATCTTTGGTCCTGAAGCTGAGGGTGGGGGCTCAGGCCATGAGCTGTTTCCTTGCCGTCCTTAGGTCCTCCCTGTGGACACACATTCACCTGGGAAGGCCATGCCACATTGAGAAAAAGCAGATATCCAGAGAAGGCCTGGGCTGCATTCAAATGCTCCGTCCAGCTGGATCCAGCGGGACGCAGGGCGTTTCCTGGTCATGCTGTGCCAGGCTACCTTGTCCTGGCCTGAAGGTTCCCAACCCTAAGGAATCTGTTAGCCCCAGGTTGTAGGTTGTTAGCCTACAACCTCCTGAAGTCTGAGGCTCTGACTGTCCCTTTCTTCAGGAAACTACCTATTCCTTTCAGGATGCAAAATGCTGACGCTCCGTGAGTCAAACCAGCTAGAGCAGCTCCTTCCCAGCACTCTCAGGAGAGGAGATCTACATTATGGAGAGGCCCGGATGACGACTGGGATAGAAAAGGGGCCTAGCCAGGGCTGAGCCAGAATCTCACTCCAGCTTCCTCAGAGCTACAAACTGCCCACCGACAGCAGTCTGTCCATCTGCCTGCCATCTCATCAGGCCCCAAGTGTCCACCCTGACCCCCAAAGTTTTATGGAATACCTGCTGTTGGCCCCAAGGAGCAACAGGGTGGGGCTGATCAAACCAAGGGGGCTTGTTAGGCGGAATCTGGTCATGAGGTCCGGGGCCCCGGGGGCCGGCAGCTGCAGGATCCTGGACCCCTCCTGTGCCATCGTACTCTGAAGAGCCCGGCATTTGGATGGGAGGTTTGTTGTCATCTAAAGCCAGGCAAGAAGTGGTCAGAGAAAGCCCTGGTGAGAGGGAGGCTGCCTGACCGGACCCTGATGCCCAACCAGGGTTGGGGTTGACAAGTCTTGCTTCATGATTCCACTGGAGACCATGACCACCTCCCTCTTCCAGGAAGGGGATGAGAGGGAGATTCTGACCTCCCACGTGAGACGTACCCATCTTCTCTACAGCATACGTATCTTACTGTCTCAGCTGTCTTGATTTTAACTTGTAGAATTTTTATCATTGATTTTTAAATTAAATTTCTATGTCTAGTTAAAAGGTCAGTGTTTTTTGTTTTCGTTTTTGGTGGTGCTGGGGTAGAACACAGGGCCTCCTCACAGCTGCTAAGCAAACACTCTGTCACTGGCCTATACTCCCAGTCCTAACTCCATTATTGAGATGGGGCCTCACTATGTTGTCAGGCTGGCTTGAACTCACAGGCATAAGCAATCCTCATGCCTCAGCCTCCTGAATAGCTGAGACTACAAGTAACTTGACAGTCCTAATCCATTATTTTATCACATTTTCCAGTGTAAGCACATTCATATTCCAAGGACAGACCCTACTTGATACGACTTATTCATTCATTCAATTTTAGATGGGGTCTCATTTTACTTATTTATTTAAAAAATATTTTTAGTTGTAGATGGACACAATACCTTTATTTTGTTAAAAAAATTTTTTTCCCACAATACCTTTATTTTATTTATTTTTAATGTGGTGCTGAGGATTGAACCCAGTGCCTCACCCATGCTAGCAAGCGCTCTACACTGACCTGCAACCCCAGCCAGAAGGCTCGGTGTATTTTAAATACAAGTTATGTATCCCTCATCCAAATGCCTGGGACCAAAAGTGACTCAAGACTTCAGAGTTCCCTAGATTCTGGAAGATTTGCAAAGACTTTACCTGCCAAGTATTCTCAATGCTAAAAGCCAAAATCCAAAACATTTTGAATGTTGTGTCAGCACTTAAAAAGCTTCAGATTTTGGAGCATTCTGGATTTCAAATTTTTGGATTAGGGATGCCCTAATCCTAACCTGTACTCTGTTGGATTTCACTTCAGATTTTATTCATATATCTACATCATTGTTCAAAAGTACTTCTAAATTACACATGTAATATGTATAAAAAATTTCTGTATATTTAATGTGTATGTTATTTACATCTAAACACAAACATACATAAAAATAAGTGTTATAGAGCCTGAGATTGTGGCTCAGTGATACAGCACTTGCCTAGTATGTGTGAGGCACTGGGTTTGATTCTCGGCACTACATATAAATAAATAAATGTTAATCAACAATTAATAAAAATTTTAAAAAGTTATGTATAATATACTTACTACGTTATATTAACATATCACGATACATTTAGCTTGTCTTGCTGGGGATGGAATCCAGTGCCTGTGCATGCTAAGCATGAGCACTATCGCCAAGTCACACCCCCAGCCTAGATTGTTTTTAATCCTTGCAGCGTCCCTATTCAGTCCCTATTCCGTTTCTGTTCTCTGGGATAATGTACAGGGAAAGGACTGTTGAACTTTTAACTGTACTACCTGCTCTGAGCTTGTAAACAAATTCAAAGCTGGCCCTAGGAGTGGGCTCAGGACAGCAGAGGCGAAGCTGTGTTTGGAAGGGAAGGGTGCTTTCTGGCCACATTCAGGAGGACCCGGCTCTTGGGCTGTCTCATGAGGCAGGGTTTGAGGGAGCCTCTTACCAGGCTGGGTGGTTGGCGGGATAGCTGGGGCAGGCGCTGGGGCCGGGGGAGGAGCTGGCGGCGGTGGTGTAGCCTTCACTTCGGCTTCCATTTGTGGCATTTGAACCTGCTGCTGCTGCTGCTGCTGCTGCTGAGCCAGGCTGTTGACGAACTCCTCATGCTGCGTCTTGAGGGTTTGAATCTGCTGCTGGAAGGCCAGCTGCACGGGCTGCACCACCGAGGAGTACTCGTTGATGAGGGTGGCCTGGGAGAGAGAGAGCCCCGCACCAAGGATGAGAGCCTTGGAGGTGCTACCTGCTACCACACTTTCTAGAGTTCCCCAGGGACAAATACCTGGAGAGCGGCAAAGCCCAGGATACCTGGAGCAGGCAGGCAGGTGGCTGTCCCATGGAACAATGAAAACATGGCACCGACAACCACAGGCTGTGGTCCAGCCAAAGACTTGGAGACCAGGATTATACTCCAATAGCTTCCTGATAACAGGAAGAAGCACCCACAGCCATGCCCAGGATGGCTACGTGGACACTAACATGCTGCCAATGAACATTCTAAAGGCTCTGCCTCTTTATCTGCTACCAGGCTTTGAGCCCTGCTTGTAAATGGGATGTAACAAAGTCTACCTCTAAGGGTTTGGGAAGAACTCAGGAAATATGAGCATAGAGACAGCTCAGTAAAAGTGCAATGCTACCCATACCCCAGGAGGAGAAGACCTGTAGACCTGCTGTGGCATGACAGGATTTCATTTTTATTTAAACATAAAAAAAAAAAAAAAAAAGCAGTTCAAATTTAGAAAAACATTGAAATGTGCCTTCCTTGTTGCCCTTCTGAGCATGACCTTCCCCCAGTGGGGAGGGGGATGCTTAGGACCTCAGAGGGCAACAGTCAACAGTGTGACATTCACACTGGACTTTAGCCTTTTGACTAAATGTGGAGGCCCGAGCTGGACATTCTAGCAGCTTTAGATGGGGCAGCAAGCCTGGGACTAGTACAAAGATCAAGGGACCTGGTCCTCCCCTTTGTGCCCTCCTCTTAGGGGAAGCCAAAAGACCCAAGGACAGGTGCAGCTGCCGCCTGCACCTGTGCTGCTTCACGCCCCCAGGATGCGTCAGTGCCCCAAGACCAACACAGGCCAAGGACGTCCCTAGTGGAGACTCCTTAGGCAAACTGGTCACAGTATGCCAGAAGGCCAGGTGGGATGGTACACACCTGGTAGGGTACACAAGCCACTGAGGGAGAGGCTGCTGTGTGGAACCTGTGCCCACTGCTCACCACCATCCACGAGGCACAACTGGGAGCTGGGGTTGAAATGTCACCTGGGGCTGTGATCGCCACCTACCCACCAGCAGATTTCAGCACAGGTGAGGGACTTGGGCCCCCTGACTTCTGGGAACATATTGGGGGCAGGTGCCATCCTTAGACCTCCAACTTCCCCTGAGGCACCTACTCTGATTCTGCTCCAGACGTGTGGCATGGGGGGGGCCGATAGGTGGCACTTACCTGGTACTGGCCAAGTCCCAGGGCTGGGCTCTGTAACTGCTGAATGATGGAGTCATCAAAGTAGCCATTTTTTTCCCAGAGCTGCAGGAGCTAGAGGCAGAGGAAGAGGAGAGAGGCTGTGTCAGGGGAGAGGAGTGTCTGCCCGCCCAGGGCAGTTCCTCCCGCCTGCCTGCCTGCCAGCCCCACGTACCCGGGCAATCTTCTGCTGCTTGTCTTCCTCCACAGCCAGGAAGCTGGTGCAGTAAATGGGCACTACAACCTTCTGCAGGGCGGCCAGCAGCTCCCGGGCCTGCTTGCGCTGGCTGTGAGGGAGAGACCTTCCGCGCGTCAGGGCCCTGGGGCGGGACCCGGCCACGCGCCCGTTACCATCAAGGCTCCAGCCACAGCACCCTCTGCCTTCTTGGGAAATGGACCCCAACCCGGCCAGGGTGATGGCTAGGCTCCCCACAAGCCCCATCAGGTGGTCTTAGGGGACATATCAGGGACACAGCCTAGGGCTGATCGGAGCGAGGTCTTTCACCCTAGTCCCCTTGTCAGTAAGCTAACCCTTCTCTTCCGGGAGGCAGTGAGGGTGAGAAGACGTGAGCCCGAGAGCCCCGAGTGCAGAAAGGGCAAAATGGCCACGTGGGGCGAGGGCCTTGTCCAGGCAAGGAAATTTCAGCTTGGGCTGGGCCTCCCAGGACAGAATGAGTGCCTGGCCCCTCAGGGCCAGTGAGCACCCAGGCAGGATGGGACATGTGCTGCCCCCTGAGAAGGATGATGGCAGAAGGTGAGCAGCTGGCACCCTCCCAAGGCCAAGTTCACCAGAGGAGCTCAAAGAGGAGCCAGGCCAGGTGGGAAGCCAGGTTGGTGGATAGAGGCAGCCCCAGTGGGAGGACAGGGTAAGGAGCACTTGGCTTCCACATGGAGCAGAGCTAAAGAGCGCATCGCCATAGAACTGTGAGAAACAAGCCTGTCTCTGCGGTGGCCCTCCAGCGGTGGGTGGCAAGGAGGAGTGAGCATGGGGGCCAAGGAGGTTCCGAGGCTACTTACGTCCCAGCAGGAGAGAAATAAGGGTGTGATGCAGGGAGGGGCTGCCATACAGGAGATGGGGTGGGAAGGGGACTTGAGCCAGGCTGTGCATGTAGCAGAAGATGGGAGAGATGCGGGTCTGTAGGGAAGGAGGCGGGACCAGTGTTCCCTGCTCTAACCAAGGCCTCCTGCCTGCCGGCATCGCCAAGCCCAAAGGCAAACAGTGACGTGTCTCACTAGCAACGTCCTCCTCCCGCACCTGCCTGTGGCCCAGATTTCTAGTTTTTTTCAATAACCTTCAGCCAAGTGGCTACGCAGAGTGCGTACCTCTGGGCCCCTGGGGAGAGCAGGAATGGCAGAGCCGTGAAGGAGCTAGGGTGGAGCAGGGAGGGGTGAGCCAAAGTGGCCCCTCAAATTCCAGTAGACAGGTCAGGGCTGGAGAAGGGCAGCCCTCAGCAAGGGCTCGACAGCACAGCAGAGCCAGTGGCAGACACAGAGGCAGGAGGAGGTGGCCAAGGAGGCAGCGGAGCCCAGGGCCTGCCTGCCAAGACACCAGAACTGCCACAGAAGAGGAGGAGTGGAGGTGACAGGACACCAGAATGACGATGGCCAGGGGCCAGGGAGAGTCCAGGGCATACGGGCAGGTGAGGCTCTGGGATGCTCTCCTGAGGTCTTTGGACAAATGATCCCCTAATCCTGGGACAAGTCAAGCTAAACTAGTGGCTGCAGAGCAGCTGCCAGGCAAGGGCAAGGAGGAGTGAGAGAGGAAGTGGATGCTTTGGGGCCCTGGTGCTGGTGGAGGTGCTCACCAGTGGTGCAGCACGTCGTTGATCAGGTAGATGAGGTGCAGGCGCAGTTCAAAGTGTGCCCCATCGGCTGTGATGCGGTTGCGGAGGTGGCCTGCCATCAGCTCGCAGTGTGGTGGGGACTTGGCATTGCTGAACATCCAGTTCTTCCCAGCCTGTAACAGCCAAGCCAACTGGTAAGTGGGGCCAGGCTCCCCGAGATCAGAGCGAGGGGTCACTCATGGTCAGGAGACACCATGGGAGGTCCAGGCACATGAGTGTATGGGACGTGGGGTCCAGAAGCCCAAGGTCTCAGTCCACCTGTTTGGCCTGTGAGCTGTCCTTCCTGCCCACAGGGTATGCCGGAGAAGGAAGGGCTCAGACGAGGCACTCCTGCCAAGAGGCAGGGCTGCCAGGCACCAGGCTCAGGTATACCCCCAGGCCCCAGTAAGTCCCTGACTGTCCTCACCGAGATGGCGTCCTTGGTGCACGTGTCGATGATGGGCTGCAGAAGGTTATCAAACTCATTCATGTCTAGTTGGGTCTCTTCTAAGAGCTTCTGCATCTGCTGCTCCACTGCGTGGGCCACAGCTGCCGTCACCTGCTCCTGGAAGGTCAAGAGGAACCAAGGTGTTGTGAGGAGGGACCCTCTGCCTTGGCTCTCCTGACCTAAGCCACCAGGGTTCAGCTGGAGAAATGGTGAGGAGGAGGACCAGGCCGTGGGCCACTCTGGTCCTTGGCAGATGAGTCCTGGCTCCGGATTGATGCCTGTTCTTAGTACTTGTGATCCCATCCTTCCTGCCTGCAGCCATCCACTGTGGCTCTGTGGCGATTCATCGCCACCGCAGGCCAAATGGGCAAAGCCAGTTAAGCACAGTGGGAACTACTGAGTGCTCCAGGGTGACGGGATTGAGAGCTAGAAGAATAGGAAGTTGTGTGAATCAACTAAACCAAAAGATGAAAACCGAGCGATGGATGAGCACAGACTATGCAGAAGACAAAGCTGTGGCTTCTAGTCACCAGCCATCAGGGGGAATGCAAACTAAAACGTGATGCTGGTACTGCCCATTTGGCTGCTAAGAAGAGCTACCATGGAGACATGCCAGTGCAGGATTGGTCAAGGCCTCACTGCCTATTCCCTGACAACTGTGAGCATTCCAGAATATTCTGCTGGCAGCAACAGAATGGAGCAATTTTATGCCTTAAGTTTAGTAATAAAACTGAGGCTGGCATCTTGGAGGTTTTGCATTACTTTCCTCCCATTTTCTGGTTGCTCATCCTTATGGTTTTGAATAATAATATCAGACTGATGGATCGGGACTGACAGCTTCGAGTGACATAGCTACCTTGTGGTGGGGTCTGTGGGAGTACCAGAGGCAATCTGGCAACACTTGTTCTATGACATCAAATGTGCATATCTGACCCATAATCCTACTTGGAGGTGTCCCCCAGAGAGAAGGGTGTGCACAGTGACCAGAATGAGAAGCAGTCTAGTATTAGGGTCAGGGGTAACAGTGCCTAAAGTGCACCAAGAAATAAATGGGGCCGGCTTTGTCCTTTAGCACTGATTATGGTGAAGAGTCCTCACGACAGCCATTGTTCATCCTAATGCACAGATGCAAGACCTGAGGCTCAAGACAAGTTCAGGTCCAATGGTAGGGAAAGAAGAAAAAGGGGAGAAGTGGGCCCCATACCTGTCTGAGGGCCAGCAGGTGCTGCTCCTGCTGCTGCAGGTTCCACTGGCTCTGCTGGATGAGCTCATCCATGGATGGGGCGCCCTGAGCGGGTGGAATAGGCGCCGCAGGGGCCAGTGGGGGCTGTGGCAGGGGTGGCAGAGCTGCGGTGGGCTCCAGTTCTGGGGCCTGCTGTTTGCAGATGACTAGCAGGAAAGGAAGAGGAGGGATTCTATGAGGATGTGGCCAGGTGTCCTCTTGGCCACCATTCAGGGCAGCTCTAGGCCAAAGTTGTCCACCACCCCCACCTACAGACTTAGCATCAATCAGAGGGCCTCCGTGCAGCCAGGCCAGGCTTGGTCTGCTCAGTCCTCTCTCTGGGCCTAGCCCTCCTTTCTACCTTCTAGTTCACATCTCCCAGCCCAGATCCCTTCCTGTGTTCTTATCCAGGCCGTCTGCTTCCGTGTCTATCCTCTCCTTAGAGAGCCTTGGAATAGTGATCTCACTCTTTCCTTGCTGAAGCAGGTGTGTGTGTGTGTGTGTTTGTGTGTCTTCATCCACTTGCAGCACAAGCCAAGTCTCAGCTGTCACCTTCCGACCTCACCCAGGTCTGAACTGATGCTGAACACAGTCAATGGCCACTTCCAGAGAAATACCACCTCTCTCAAAGTCCTTGGCCACAATCTCTGACCTCCGCGACTGTTCTCTAATCTCCCCCTTCACTTGTGCTCTGCATTCAGAGATTTATCCAGTTTGAGCCAGTAGTGACATACTGCACCCTTGCCCCATTAGAGATTGAACCCAGGGGCACTTAAGCACTGAGCTACATCCTTTTTATTCCTTAGGGCTGGCCTTGATCTTGCAATCCTCCTGTCTTAGCCTCCCAAGTCACTGGGATTACAGGTGTGTGCCTCCACACCCGGCTAATGTTTGTGATGATTCCCTTAAGTATTCTTTTTGTTGTTATTTTGTGGTGCTGGGGATTAAACCCAGGATCTCACACACGCTAGGTAAATTTTCTACCACTCAGCTACATCCCCAACCTGTGACATACCTATTTTACAGGCAGGGTGGGCATGTGTCCCCATTTCGGATAGATGAGGTAACAGGGAGGTCTTTGGGAAGGGTTCTTGCTCATAAGGAGGGCTTGCCTCCCTCTCCACTTCTGTGCTCTGTCTTGTCTGAATGTGGCCACACACTGATAGAACTGTACTGAATTCTGTCCCAAGGGGAATCTGTCCTTGGACAAAGCTGAAGAAGGGGTAGAGGGTGGAAGGCGTCACCCAGAACCAACAAGCACCCAGTTACTGCTTAGGATTGTCAGGGGCTCAAAGGATACCCTATGGGATGATCCTTGGCTTGTGCTCAGGCCTTGGGACATGGCTCCCTGAAACCCATGTTCTCCCTCAGTCCTTCAATTTCTCCCCTTTTACCGACTGCTTCTCAATAGTACTGAAACCCATCTGTGTCTTCTCTTCCTTACTCCATGTTCTGCTCCCAACAAATATGCAGCCTCTTTTTGTGACCCACCTTGGATTCTTCATCTCCTCTTAATCTCAACCTAGAGCCCACCCATTCCCCACCCTTAAGGCCAGTGAGGACATCCTGACTCAGCCCAATGGGCCTTCTCAGGTCCTTTTCTCCTCTGTGGCAATTTATTTCTTCTCTCTTGTCCTTGCTGTCCCTTAAATGCTGGATGCTGTGTCTGTGTTCTCAGCTTTTGAATCCATTCTATGCAAATCATCAGGGAAAGAAATACAGACTGGTTGCAGTTACCCAATCCCTAAACCCACCAGCTCTTTTCTGGATTTGCTCAACTTAGGACCTAACAACTGACCAATGCCTGGCCTACAGGTTTTCCATGGGCTGCTCAAGCTCACTGCATTTCCTCTCTCCCTGGGCTCCCTCCCCATCTCTGTAGCTGTGATCCACCCAAATAAAAAGGGGCATGCACCTCACGCTAATGTGAGTGCCACCAAGGCATCCCTTAGATCCCACTCCTATATGTTGCCACCAAGCTCTGTTGTCACCTGCATCATCCTTGGACCCATCTCCTTGAATGAGGTCCTGCGCCCTCTACCCCTTGTGCAGTCAGTGCTGCTGTTCAAGTGTGGTCCTTGGACCAGCCCTCAGTGACAGAAGCTACAGGCACTTTTATAGCTATTCAACATTTCACGGCTTACATTTTTACCGTACTTTACAAAAGCACCTGGCCACAACAGACTGGAAATTAAAAATCAAAACAAACAAAAATAAAAAACTGAGCCTTCACCATGGAATTTGCAAAGTATCATTTTAGACAGTCCTGGGGGTCTTAAAAGTATTGGGGTTAGGGATCAGCTTAGTAGCAGAGTGCTTGCCTGGCATGCATAAAACCCTGAGTTCAATCCCCAGTTGGGGATTATGGGAAACTAGGGTGAAGAGCTAGCAGCCCTGTGGCTAACCCTGTTCTAGAATGCAGACCTGAGAGCCTTCACGTGCTCCCCTGTAGCTTCCAGGATCAATTCCTAACTCCTCAGCACGCCAGCCCTCTTTACTCTGCATCCTCACTTGTAGCCAGGCCAAGAATCCCTCCTTTGCTAGGCGTCAGCCACACTGAGTATTGACCCTGTCTCTGTCCCTCCAGAGTCTCTTTTCTCAGCCTGAAAAGCTTCTCTCCCTCAGTTTTCACCTGGCTAACTGTGCCACATTCTTTACATCCCCTCTGAGATGTCATCACCTGGAGAAAACATCTGCTGATTTCTAATATTCCCCTGCGGTAGGGACCCTCTCCCTTCCTTGTTATAGCACCTAGTCCTAAACAGCTTCCCATTTCTGACAGAAGAGCAGTTCTCAGCACAGTCATTTAAGTCAAGAAACTGTATGAGGCATCTTCCTCCCTACCGCATGATGCCACCTCTCATCAATATCCAACAGATGCCTAAGTTCACAGATTCTGCCCCTTAACTCCACCTGCCCCCATTCCCACTCTTTGACTCAACCGGACTTAATTCAGACCTCACCATTGTGCACCTGAGACAACTGCCCGAGTTATTCCCGAGGACCTCACTCTTTCTCCCTGCAGCCAGTCCTCCACACTAACCCCACAAACACCATTCTGTTGGACTGCTGTTTCAAACTCTCTTGCAGCTTTTAAACTTGGTCTGCTGGGACTAGGGAATGAATGCTCTGGAAACATGGAACACTATGCTTACAATTTCAGGCTACTAATCTCCCTAGTTTTCATCTCAAACGTAAACAGGCACTGGAATGAGGGAGAAAACCCCAACCTCCCTTGGCATTTAACACTCCAGATCAAACCCTCCCCGCATGCATACATACACACACACACACACCCACCCCACCTCACCCCCACACACATGCACCAGTGAGCTAAGCTCCAACCATGCTTGGTCTTTTCTGGTTCCTCCCCCTGAACACATTGCTTGTTCAAGTCCCTGTACCTCTGTAGCATCCTATTCTGCCTGCCTTGTAAGCTTTTTATCAAATAAGATGCACTATGTAAGGGCACAATGTCTGTTTGGTCTTGTAACCCGGAGACTGTTACTTTTTAATGTCCATATACTTGGAAAGCTCCTACTTATTCATTCACAGAACACTCTTAGAGACTGGGGATTTGCCACTGGGCATGCCAGATATGGTCAGTGCCCTTAGGACGTTGACTTGGTGACTAGTTATTTATTATCTGAAGCCCAGTTGTACTTCCTATCCCATCTTAAATTCCTAATACTCAACTGAACATCCACAAAACCTAGAGAGACAATTCTTTCTGATCTGCGCATCTAAAATGCACAGAAATCTTGCTGGACTCAGACAGCTCCAAAGGAGGCTGGTCAGTTTCCACTACTATCACTTCCTGCCTGGAAAACACTAAAGCAGTTCGTCTACTGCTGCTGCTCCCAGTTACCATGTCTGCAAAAACAATAGAGAAATTCCTGATCCGGAGCCCCAGCAGAGGGTCGATAGCCTCGTTCTCCATTACACAAGGACCCAGGAGTCGATATGTGCAGGGCCCCGGGAAGAGCAGAAGGAATCATGAACATCCAAGCTGCCCCTCTTCGCAGAGAAAATATGAGACCCAACAGAAAGCGGCTTGTGGCAGAGCACGGACTGGAATCTGAGAAAGGAATCGCTCAAAGGGACGGCTTGAGAGCTGGCGAGACTCACGCTGCTGCTGCTCCAGCGCCAGCTTGCACTTGTAGTAACTGTAGAACTCGCCTCCGAACAGAAACGAGAATTTCGGGTTGTCCTTCTGCTTCTCCATCGTCATCTTCTCAAACTCGGGCCCATTGCGAGCCACGAACTGAGCCAGCTTGTCGATGACATTTCGAAGCTCCTGGTCTGGAGGACGGAGAAAAGGCCACGCGGGGCATCAGCAAAGACCGCCCAAACCCGGGAACCCTGGCGCTCCAGCCCCGGTCCACAGGGCCGGGGTCCCTAGGGGTGGGTCCCAGAGAGACCGCTCTTGTACGGGTCCCGATAAGGGCCACACGCTCGCCGAGAATGCGAGGACCCACGGGAGAGGCCGC